AACAGTATGACAGAGTTAAGACCGTGTGCCATGCCAACAGTGGTAGAAACTTTAGATCGCCTACAAGGTGCGAATGTGTTTTCGGTTCTCGATCTTCGCTCAGGATACTGGCAGATACCGATAAAACAAGGTGATAGAGATAAGACGGCTTTCATCGTGGGTCAGACACAATATCGATTTAAACGCATGCCGTTTGGACTAGCAGGTGCACCGTTTACGTTCAGACGACTGATGAAGCTATTACTTAGGAACTTGAAAAACGTGGAGGTTTATGGTGATGATCTCGTCATATACAGTCAAAACGAAAACGATCACGTCAACCATGTAGAAGCCGTGCTGCGACGCATCGAAGAGTTTGGACTACGCGTCAACAAAACCAAGTCCCAGATAGCCAAAAAGAATGTTACTCTGTTGGGACATAAAGTGGGAAATGGTGAGATTAAACCACTGCCGGAGAAAATTTTGACGATTAAAACGATTCCAGCCCCGAATTCAAAGAGAAAACTGAGACAATTCTTGGGTAGAGCAGCGTTTTATAGCCGCTTCGTGAAGAACTTCAATGAGATAGCAGCCCCTCTATACAGGCTACTAGGTGAGCCAAAGTTTGTTTGGTCGGAAGAATCGCAGAGGACATTCGACAGAATTAAACAGCTGCTCGACCACCAACAAATGACGCTAAAACTACCTGTGCCAGGAAGACAGTTCACAGTGTGCACAGATGCCAGTGACTACGCTATAGGTGCGGTCCTAAGACAGGACGAGGGAATCGTTGAGTATGCCAGTAGGGTTTTGACACTCGCAGAGAGAAAGTATTCAACGATAGAGAAAGAATGTTTAGCAATGGTATGGGCAGTCGACAAATGGAGACCTTATTTACTCGGCCGGCGGTTCCACATCGAAACTGATCATAAGCCGCTACAATTTTTGAAGACAGCGAGAGACCCACGGGGGAAGTTGTCACGGTGGATGTTGCGTCTTCAGGAGTACGATTTTACGATCTCACACGTTCCTGGAAGTGAAAATGTCTTGGCAGATTTGTTATCGAGACCAGAAGATGAGTCTGAGTTGCCCGAGGTCGCTTACGGAGTGCATGCAGTAGAACAAGACCCACTAAGACTTGCACGTAGGCAGAGGTTGGACGATACGCTGAATACAGTAATACAGGTGATCACCAACGGAATAGAAGTGGATCAAACTACGGCGAGTAAGGAGCTAACCACACTACTCAGACAGAGGGATCGACTCAGAGTGAATGCCTACGGGACTCTGACCTGGCGAGAGAACGACGGAAGCTGGCTGGCTGTCATACCTCAATCGTCGCGCCACGACATGATAGAAGAATGTCACCAGCTAGCGCATACAGGCGTGGCCAGAACGACCGATCTCCTAAGACAAAGTATGTACTGGCCAGGTATGAGAGAAGACGTAGCAAGATACGTACTTGGATGTCCACGGTGCCAGCTGATGAAAGGTGACCGGTGTATACGACCACCACTTCAGTCGATTCCAGTTACCGCGATAGGTGACTTGTGGTCCGTAGATGTCATGGGTCCATTTCCTCAGACATCCAATGGTAATCAGTACCTCTTGGTGATGACGGAACACGCGACACGATGGGTAGACGCCGTAGCAATCCCAGACCAACGTGCAAGAACCGTGACAGATGCAGTAGTTAGACACATTGTTGCAGACCACGGCGTACCGAAGACAATACTGACAGACCAAGGTCCCTGTTTCGAGAGTGAAGAGTTTACTTCCCGTTTGCAACAGCTGGGCATCAAGAGGATCAGAACGACCCCATACCATCCACAAACGAATGGCCTAACGGAGAGAAACAACCGTACACTGAAGGAGTGGCTGGCCTCGAAGGGCGGGAACTGGGAAACGGAGCTTCCACTGATTTTACTAACACATCGGGCTACCACTCAGGAAACAACGAAGAAGTCACCCTTCCAACTGATGTATGGTAGAAAACCACGATTACCGGTACACAATGAGACCTGGCCCATGCACCAAAAGTGGAGTACGACGAAATTAAAAGCAGAGAGGAAAGAGGCAGTCAAGAATGTAATACGGAAGCAGCGCAGTGATGTCATGAAGTCTCAGATGAAAGAAAGGACGCAGTGCATTACCTTTGCAGTCGGGGACCAAGTGAAGTGTAGAGACAGGAGATATACAGTTGGAGGCGGGCTAGGTTCACGGAAACTCCTTCCAAAGTGGGAAGGACCATACACAATCACAAAAAGACGGGGTCAAGTATATACCATCCGAAGAGGTGATAAACAGAAACGAGTTAACGCCAGTCAGCTCCAAAGATGGGTACAGTGGGACAAGCCGGTCAGTAACAATCCTCAACTAGAGGATGTAGCACCCAGAAGGTCGGAACGTCTGCGCACGAAGCTATTTGACGGGGGGACGAGTGTGGTGAGAGCAGGCTGCTAGCCGATTGGTTGGCACTAATCTACGTTAAGGTCTAGGTCACTAATATGGGCCGTGAGAAAATATGAACAAGGCTGAGTCAACAACCAATCACAGCAAAGTTAACGTGGCAAAATATGATTCGCAGATAGAGAACTCTATTTGTCAAGGAATCCCGAAACAACCAATCAGAAGCCTGCGTTTGTCTACCTAACTTCTGATAAACAACCAATCAGATGACTGCGCTTGTCTATAATAATGTAGTTGAAATATGTATAAATACGTGTTGATTTTCATAATAAAACGATCTGTTGCTTCGCCCTTGTCTTCTGTTGTTACAATACTACAATGACTTATATTTATTTTTATTTTTTTTTAATTTTTGATTTACAGCTTGATTCCACACTGTATTTTTGGTACAAGTATGGAATTTTCAGCATGGATATCGGTAGCCCAAATTTTGCAGGCCGACTATAGATATTAGGTATGCGCCGGCGTGGGCTCGAACCCCGGACCATGTGCATGGTCGGCGAGAGTCCTAACCACTGTGCCACCGACTAGCTAGATGACACTAACATCAACCAATAATGCTTGCTAGTCAGGTCGAAGGTCTTTTCATATGCTTTAAGTCCAGCTTATCAGTAGTGTACCAAGTTTGACTTAGCTCAGAGAACCAAACCAGTTCAGAACAATCTACCAGTCAACATCCTTTTTCTTTCTCAGAATGTGTTCCACTATTAGCTAAAAACTCAAGTTTATGCCTTTCATATAATAATAGATGATCGCTTCATCAGATTTTTTTAATAACTGACTGTTATTTCACTCTGCACTACTAACTACATATTCGTTTTACCAATGGCTCTCACCATACTAAAGAAATTGTTTGCATGTCAAATAATGAATGATAGTGTGTTTGAGGTAAGGAACACATAGGTTTAAAAGAATATCAGTAAGATGAAAAAAACGGGAAAATGAATTATGATTTAGTGTTGTCTGACAGCAACTAGTTACATCATTTGTCAAACTATGGCATATTCTTAGTTTTCCGTTTACATTAACACGTTAGCAAGATTCTTTACTAAGAGATTATGGAATTCATACAACCAAATGTCTTCACTTTGTCCATTATGTTAAAAATTATAATCTTCTTCCTGCATAATACTTAAATAAAGGTAGTTTTCTTAAATTAGATTGAAATATAAAAATCGCCTTTACTAAACCTTTGAAATTATGATTAGCTTATCATAGAAGTATATATATATACAGATGAGAACCTATTTCAGTTCGGAAAAAAATGAGGGAACAAATAGCACTCACAGCCACGCTATGTTATGAAGTAAACTGTTTAGAAATAGAATACTGATAGTTTAATCTGCATAGTTGGAAAGTAACCCTATGTTGTATTTCACCATTTCTTTGAAAGAGAAGAAGCGGTGAACCTATAAAAGGTCAGTTTGATACAGAATTGTAACCATTAGGAACTATGTTAATTGAGTCCCGTAAATTCTAGGCTCCTTTAAGAAGCAGCATTCAACCTATCTCTTCCATTAGATAATATAAATTCTGTATGCATTGAATCTACTTAGTATACTGAAAGGATTCATCTGTATTCAAAAGATTCCACTTTCTTCAGCACGCATAAATTTACTATACGTAAAAAGTTTCAGCATTATGGATTATATCAAATAAAGTAAAATTATATTTCAATAGTTTAAACACAAGGATAAGTTTTGTCAATTGTAATATTTCGAGCAAAATTACTGCCTATGTTCACACCACTGTTGGAATTCTTCTGTTTATATATCATAAAACATTTAATGGAAATAGGCGGAATAAACCAGATCAATTAAAAACGCTTCAATTGAGTTAAGAACTTGAGAAGGTCATTTTGAAGTCTATCTTTTACTACTAATTAACAATTATTTTTCCTTTAAAAACCCTATCTTCGGTAATATTCTGTGAGTCTGAGCACAAAGAATGCCTTCATTTCTTTTAAATACCCTCCTAATACCCTGAATCTTCAATAAAGAGCTGACAGTTGTGAATTTCGCTTCAAATATGCTAGCTATTATGGTGCACTGATCGCAAAGATTATGAAAATCTAGCTATTCACAAGAAAAGATGCACATATTTCAATTTGAAAATAAATGATATGGTGATTTCATAATGATTTTGTTTCGTATTAAATACGGTGTGCAAGGGACTGAGCTATTGGGACCCCTTCACATTGAAGTATGGACTGAGCTATACATTTTGGGATATTATAAAGCAGACGAAAACACAAAAGCCTGTAAATCCCCATCCAAAAGAAAACAATTTGAATCTCGTTACCGTTTCGTTTTTTTTTCTTCTAGAAATACAGGAGAAATAGTATTTCTTTCTGTCTTGAAAGTATTTCTTTGTTAAACATTTCAGGAAAAGATATTTTTATTTTCTGAATCTGTTCGTATCAATCATAAAATGCAATAAAATATAGATTAAGTTTGCTATGTATATATATATATTAATCAAAATTAAAAATCATTATATCAGAAAACTAATCAATCTACAAACACGGATAAATGGTTGAATGAATAGCTTACATTACGTCCACATTGATCATTTATAGATCTCTCGTAAAAGTGTATTTTCTCCTCTTCATTGTCAGGATATTCCATATGTGAATTCGCTAGACAAAAAGTTGTATTTCGTTGAGATTTACTTTTGCATTCACGTTTATACCCAAATGTTTGCCTTCTGCGAAATGCTTTGAGTGATAGAAGATATCGAGAGGGAAGAGGATATCTGAAATGAGGAAAAAATTAGTGCTTTTATAATAGCGAAGAAAAGAGTTAGGCGAAAATGAGTCGTGATTATGAAAGCTTTCCATAAGTCAAATCATTTTAGTATACGTACAAAATAGTCAGATTTTTAGATTGAAGAGTGAGTAGACTATCTATAACATTTGTTAACACAAAATTTTATTTTACATAAGAGCACCAATGAGACTTAATTAAATAGGTGGTAAAACTCCTCAACAGGAAAAAAATGAAGGCGAAATAAAAGTACTCATTAGGGGGGGGGCGAAGAGACTAGATAAATTCATTATTAAGTAATTTATACCTCCACAAGCATTCAGCCAACGACGGGTTAAATTTTAAATATAAAGACTGCTTCAATGTCAAGGTTATCCCTTTTAAAACACTGAGTTTTGAAAACATCTTGTTTAGTTACAGGATTTTCATCATGAGCTGACATTAGCTAGAGGACAGTTGGAAAGCCTGGGAGTACTGGACACCTGTTTCGTCCTAGTCTGGGACTCCTCATCAGTACACACCCATGGGGATTCGAACCCAGCAATTTCTAGGCGAGCTCACTAGCGACTTGCCCTATTCAGGTAGGTGGTTACCAGGGGTTCTAGTGAGAAGTCGTGATCAGTAGGGTGCAGCAGGTAGGGTGTGAGGACAAATACTCTCCGAAGACATTGGCTTGGGTCGCGCTATGCCGTGAATTGGCAGAAGTTAGAATTCGTGGGCCATTGGATCGGATCCCAGTGACATAATGGTATACGAGCTCGCCTTGTAATCAGAAGGTCCTGGGTTCTAACGCTGGCGTAGGGTGTGAACTGATGAAGAGTCCCAAATTAGGACGAAACAGCTGTCCAGTACTCCCAGGCTTTCCAGTGGTCCTCTAACTAATGTCAGCTCATGATGAAAATCCTGTAACCAATCAAATCCCTACAAACCAACACTTTAACATCTTGTTTAATTGGTCCTGGTAAAATAATATGCATCACAATTTCAGTGTGCACTCAAATGCAGCCAACAGTTATATTGTATTCCTTTGGTAATTCCTTTAATTTACTTCCGTTGCGTTTTTGTGTCTTTCCATTCCAAGCAGGCGGTAAACCTTACTGTATGAAGTAATAAGAGTTCGCTTGATAAATCTCATTAACAAGAGTTGGAATATATTATTGTTGTTCTAATATTTTGACTAGTGCATGCATGTATTAGTCACATACAGGGAAGTTGCTCAACAAGAAAGATCTAGTGATATATCTTTAAGAATACGGTTAAGGTTAAAAACTTATGCATCACAAAAATAAAGGGTATAAGCAGCATGTAAAAGATAACTGACCTTGGTGATGAGTAGTGCTTATTATTAAGACGTGATATGAAAAGGTATCAAGGTAAGACATTGCACTGATATAATCTAGTGGAAGAATCAGGTCGAACTGAAGATAAAGTTCATCTTACTATAGGTATCATATCGTAAACATGGCAGATAAATAAAGTTATGACTTGAACAGACTTATTTTGCGGACGGAAAATGTTTTGAACTAACTTATTATTAGTCTGGATAACCGTATGTATATTTGGCACAAATTTAATTAAAGCGTATTGGAAATACACAGTCAATACGCCTGAATGTTGAGGAAAACTAACCCAAACTAGTATCACTTCATAAACTATGTAAACATGAAATTGTAGCAACAAGTGAACATAAACCTTAAAAAAATGTTTGTCAAGCTTAATTGTATTACTTTTACCTTAACAATATCTTCTCAATTTGGATACATAACACTGAGATTCATCAAATTCACATCTTAACTTCATTTGAAAATTATTCACGACACTTGGCTAGCTAGTTAAATCATTTTATTTATTTTCCTTATTACTTTTACTTATCAAATCTTATTGCATGCACACTGGAAACTTGTTTTCTTTTCATCGATACAGACAAGATTGTTTACCAAATCCCAGAAGGACATTTTATGAAAAAAAGGGATTTTTGACATCTGTGATAACCTAATGCAATCAAATATCACTCAGTACAGTTGTATTTTCTCAGAGAATCCACTCCCATCTTGGTTAAAGAAACAACTCGCTGTATGAAAACTAGAGTGGATTCTAAGTCTTGAGCTCGTGTTACAGAGTCAGCTAATTTAATGACCATATTGAGAATGTGACCGGCAGAATTCAATCGGCAACAAAGAGTGAACATTATGAGCACTTTTATTACATAATGACTAATCATTGTTGTTATTAAACTATATAAGACATTTAGAACTCAAGTGTTGGTTTAGAACTGTTTGAACAAAGAAAGAACAAATATGTTTACAGAATAATAGGAGCTCCTTTTATTTCGTGGACTGTTCTCAACTAAGTACATCCTAAACGATATTGAAATATAAGTTACAAAATTTCTGAACATACTTTCCTCACAGTAAATTCGAGTTATGGGAGGAAGTACGAGCAACATAATTCTAAAATGAAGTAAGTAGACATTACTCAGTGTCGACAGCCTAAGCATAGATATTACAGTTAGACAAGAGAGGGAGATTAAATTTTAGATTTTGCTTAGAAAAAAGAAATGACTACGAAAAACATAGCAAGTCGATAAACGGAGGGAATTCTTTCAGAATATGATACAAAGTTTAAGAGAGCGGGATCAAATAGTAAAGTAATGATACAGACAGACAATTATGTAAATTTAGAGACGTAATAGTGACACCAACTGGGTAAATAAAAATTAGAATTAAATGGTATGTTACGCAACAGAACTAAACACAAAAAACAAACAGTTACAGTTACCAGGGTAGCGAGATATTTATCATTCTATTTTTCTCTATGTAGAGAGATAGTTTCCGGACTGCAAATGTTGTGGATTCTGTGAGTCAGTGAGCGGATCAGATTTCGTTTTGTATATATAGGCACCCAACTGTGAAAGCTGATGAGTTTTCCATTCCATGTCGGTTTTCTGTGAATGGATCTTTTGAGTGCCCCATCTTGCTCGCGTCTTGCTAGTTGCACGTCCAGAAAAGATATTGTTGCGTTGGTCTCCTTCTCTAGTGTGAACTGGATTGCTGGATGGCAACTGTTGAAGAAGTCCAATATGTTCTCCAAATTTTCCTCATTATTGGCGATAATAAAAGTATCGTCCACGTATCTCTTGTAGAATCCGAAGTTATCTATTATGTTCTTTAGGTGTGTAGTTTCTAGTTTTTTGCTAGTTTCACCTGCTCATGTGGAGCTAGGTATGTCGACCGTACCCAGCGTTTGCTATCCAAACGAATCAGCGAACACTTACCTTCATGGTTTTATAAAGGAGAAAGAAGATCCCCCGCCACAGCTCTATCCTAGAACACTTGATCGAATCCGGACATCAAGCAAACCCAAAAAACAACTTCTCAGTTATCTACACAAACGTGGGAATCTTGCCAAAAGAGTACGAACTAAACTTCTTCAAACTGGAGAAGCATTGGCAATTCACATATTGAATCCTGAACTCTGCATACAAAAGAAGTTTGTTCAGTCACTAAATCTACAATGATCCTGATCTATCTTAACACCAAATACGTAATTTTGTCTTACCTCTTTCTTCTTTGTTTGTCTATTTCTTAATTGCATTATTTTCTACCCCCACCCTCTATTAAATCTCTACGCTCATGACGACTGTCGCTAACTCGATTTTCGTTTATTTTTAAGTGAATTCTACTCAGCTTATTAACTTGACTCTCATTCATTTTTTAGATTACGTCACCCAACCTACTTTTGTAACTTTATTTTAGTTTCTAATCGATTAACGCCTTCTAAATTACATAATTTGTTTGTCAAAAATTAACAATTGCATTAACACATCTTTGGAAATATTCCTTTTGTTGCCAAGACAAATTACTATAAATTGGCGATTTATACAGCTTGAGAATGATATCGCCGAAAAGAGTAACTCTTTGCTGAACACCTTTTCTTTTCTATATTAACTATTCTGAAAGCCTGACTAATTTCCACGGTATGTCCCATGTCTTTGGATTGTCTGGCGATTGTACTTGAGAACACTTTGCTGACCTCCACATGGAGATTGAAGAATATGCTCAGAAAATTTCGTAAAAGCTCCACTCTCAGTCTTTACTATGCACTTGATTCTGCAAGTGCATTCGAAATGGTAAATCCGGGTGGAGTTGACATGAGCACTTAAATAATTTTAATCGAGTTAACCAGCATTCCCCTTCCTGTCTAATTATACTGTAAATATATACTATACTATAAATAGTCAGTATTTTAACACTTAAGAGTTAGTTCAGTTACATCATTTTGGAATTATGTTGCTGTGAGAAATATATGTTCAGTGATGGTTGAAAAGAATTCACGAAATAAATGGACCTTGTTCTTTACTGTATATTTTTTGTTCTCTCTTTGTTCATACTAGTCAAAAGAACTGGTTGTATGAGGTTTAAAATTATGCCAGACACTGAAAAGCTATTTGTTTATGTAGTTGGTGCTCTCTTAATAAACTTACTGTGGTATTAAATTCTCTCACACTGTCTAGGTTCTGCGCTTACAGTTAAGACTGTATGAAATTGTCTCTGTATATTTCAACCCACTTGAACAGCATAGTCCTACGCTTTACAAACCATCAAGGTATTAAAATACACGTTTTGAATATCTTGTTTCAGTGACCATATCATATTTATAAGGGCAGAAAATTATTCATACTCTCCAGAGAATACTATGGTAACTCACCATGTATTTCTGTTTCTCATTTAACCAAACTATCTATTTTTTCCATATAATGTGAGTAAAGTTATGAACTGTAAGGATTATAAATAATTAAAGGCATTGGCTAGTTAAAAGTATTTTATCCTGGAATTTTTTGCAAATACTGAATAGAAACTAAAGAACACTAGTATTAGCATGAGTCAGAAACGAAAATGAAAATTATTAGTTCACATACTGAAGTTTATAACAAATAGATCATGTTTAGTCTTAATTCAGCATACTGATTCCTGAACTTTAAAGGCAAGC